GGTAGGAGGGCTTGTTAACACTTGTCATCGGTGCTGGAGTAACAGCAGAAGACGTTGAAGATAATGATTAATTAATCAGTTTCCTACTGGCAGGGTTGGTGAGCCCAATAGTCAAAACTACCATTTTAATTAAAGTAGCTGCCACAGAGGCCAAACAAAACTTTCTCTGCCGGAGGATTCTTGTTCGATAACAAAGGAAACTTAATCTTCCTGCAGACAGCTTTCGTCAGTAAGATTCAGTGGCTATGAGTCACAGAAACCAATGCGTAGAATTCCATGACCCTAAGAACAATTGAAGTGGTCGGTATGCAGCCGATTAGTGAACTAGAAGGTGGTGTGCAGCGATTTCTTCGAGATTCTTGCAGTAAGGAACATCTTCAGTGCTGCTGGAGACCATAAAGTGACTACGGTAGTCTGAATTAGCATGGAATACGTCGCTTAGTGGCGCATCGCTGGACGTAGCCAAATTTGGATAGGCTATGGTGAAGCTAACGTCACCGCGACGTGTGACCAAGGTCTTTGGAAACTGAAATTCGTCAAAGCCGAGGTGAGGTATCACGTGCGGAACTAACGTCGCCGTACATTTTTGGAATCTTGCGTCCTATGTAAACACAACTCGAAAAATCGCATATAATTAAGTCCTTGGAAACTTCGGTGGGTAATTTGCCATAGAGGAGGCTTCTGTCAAAACAGAAAATGTGAGAAAAGTTCTGTATAATTTTGTGTTTGGATGGGTTGGCCGATTTTTGATTAAACCTTTAAAATTGGAAGCAGTTACGTATCGAATTTTTATCCGTAGAATAAATGGCCGTTGGATACCTGGATCTCGAGCGAATTCGCTATCGTGACGACATGATAATAGAAACACGGCGATGAAGGGTGTATGTTTTACTTGAAGTTATGCTACACCATGCACCGGCGATGACAGCGCAAGGGTGGAAATGCGCTGCTGGGAAACGTGTTCGTAGATACTGTGCTATTGGGAAAAGCGCTGGTTGGAAGCGCGCTGCTAGTGATCACGGGTTGGCTCTCGAAGAACATTTATAAAAGCGCCAGTCTATCGCTGAAGAGACTGCTCACAGATTTTTGGAACGACTTTTATCATGGATTTATATCGTGTCACCTGTAGGTATTCATAATGAAAAATGTCGTTGCACGATCAGGCAGTGGTGCCTCTCATTCCCAAAAGCCGACTAATCTTGAAGCTGTTGACGCAATGGATTTTCACTGCAGCAGATCCATTTAGCAAGTTACTGCAGTTGTATGTTGCCAAATTTTTTTGATCAAGCTTGATATAGGGAAACATTAAGTAAAGCACCATTAGCGTAGCCCTGATGATGCTACGGTCTATGTAGCAAAACGCATCGACAGTGAACTGTTCTATCATCTGTTGTATTTGATTCCCGAATCATGAATGGTTCAAACACCTATCTTTAGGGCAACTTTATACAACTTATTAGCATCCCCGCACATGTGCATTCACTGCATTTTTGCATCAATACAAAAAGTTTTTCTGCGAGTGGGTAGATATCTGAGAAATTTTTGTTGCATAAATTTTTGTCAATATCGTTTCATGAACTAGTTTCTTTGCATTGTTTTATCAGGTTATACTCGCTATTTGTTTCTGAACAAATCATATTAGAAAAATATGTCTTTTTATGTACCTAGCGTTGATCATGATCATCGTTTCCAGCAGGTTCATCTGTTTCTCGTGTCTCTTGAAAATGGTCACAAATTTTGATACAAGTGCGACGCGGTTTACTACGGTTCTATGGAGTTTACCCACAATTTGCTGTCAGCTTCTTATCACATAGCGCACTTTTACCTTCTTCCATTTGAGCCGCGCCAGTTGATGTACTTCTTTATTAGCTGTCGATTTCCCCGTTGTTTTATATGACATATACCCGATTCCTGATGTTGTAGGTAGGAGATAGTATCCTTCTGCTTGACGGATTCATTGGCGTTGCCTCAGCTCTCTGATAAAAACTATTTATCTATTTCAATAAACAATTTACTAGCTTTTCAGTTAACACTCTGAATTTATTCCTTGTTTTTATGGCAAGTCATCGGCAAGTCATCATTAAATCTAAAGATAACAGAAACAGATCTTTAGTAAAAGCATCACTTCTATTATTTTAAATGCGATCTATTCATGCTGAAATTCTACCACCAAAGCTTGTTTATTTAACGACATGTTTTTTCCAAAGCATTACTGATAAAACCAACTTTAACGAAATTTGAATTCGAATGTCAGAGAATTCAGTAACATTTAATTACTGTCATATAGCGTCCTAAATTATTTTATATTCGTTTGAACAGCTTATATTTGACATACTCTTTTGTAAGCCGAACAGTATAGCGGTTCGCATTTAATCTGCTTACTTTCAGATCCAGGACCTGTTTTTGGATGAATACGTGTTCGAAATGCAGCCACCCAGTGCTTCTGCTCGTTGGGACTTCTTTGCTCAGCTGTCGCCTATTATCATGGATCGTCCCGTTAGAGGCACAGATATTGGCAAGTACTGGTTGGTCAGTTTTCCAGACTTTCAATCTTTCAGTTTCTTACCCAAAGCTGGCTAAAGCTCCTCCCGCAATCCCTCGCAAGCCCAGTGCTCGGGAACTACAGATAATATGCAAACAAGAGAAAGCTACGTTTCGGTCGCTGCGTATATTTTTACGTGCTATTTTATTTCGTATCATTCGCGACCGTCGATTTGCCGTCTTTGCGAAACCAGTTGACGCAGAAGACGTGTGATTTGCAATTCATTCATATCGCAGAAAATATCGTCGTTCCATTTGTAGGTCCCTGACTACTACGAAATCATCACCGAGCCAATGGATCTGTCGAAGATGATGAACAAGGTAAACGATGATCAGTACAAGAGTGCTGCAGACTTCCTCGCGGATATCAACCTCATAACCCACAACGCCTTGATGTACAATCCTGATCGCGAGATAAGAGGTAAAAATTATAGTACAGATAACGCAGTTAACGACGTTATTCATGCTTTATCGCTTTTCGTAGAACTGGTCATTCGCCATCGAGCGTACGACCTTCGGGATTTTGCGACGGAACTCATCGAAGAAGAGCTGGACTCAGATTTTGAACAGCTGTGTCTAAGGATTAAAGAATGTCGAAAACAACG